GTGGTTTGACTTTTTCAGACTCTGAAGAAGGCGAAACCGAAGAAACGTAAAATAGAAAGAGCTATATCAATCTTGGTCAATCAGCTGAAGCAAACTAATAAGAACCTCCTAGAAATTATCTATTAGCCAACCTGTACAGCCTTGTGATATTCACCGATGCTGCTCTCGTCACGATTGCCCTGTATAAGTATCATCAGTAGTCGACGAAAATCTCCAGAAGTATCGCCAGAGATCGCTTCTTCCAGCGATCGGTCAAAAGTTGTATAGTAAGTATTCCTAAAATAAATTGTGATTCAATGCCGAGGGAAATGCATGCACCAAAACCGTATCCTTACCGTATTGCCTGAATTTCTTCATTTGTTCGAGACGATAAAATTTCAATCAATACTCGTTCATTTGTGCCAAATCCCTGAAATTCACGTTCTTCTAGTTTGCAATCGCAGATGAATGAGTACGTCATTTTGTGGCAGTCTGCGTGCCGCGACTCAAAGGCATTAGCGCCGCGACACCCTACGGCGCACACGAGACTTATTTATGCATGGAAAGAGCTGGCAAGGTGAAACAAGCCAATTATATATTTTTTCGCTTTTATATTAGGTTGTTAACTAAGTTTTGCAACTACTTTAATAGTATAATTTCTCTCTCTTTGTATACGACGCATTCAAATTTTGCCGCTATGTGTCCTATGATGTAACCTGCAACAGCAATTACAGTTCCATCAAATTCTGACGTTGCAGTGGGGATCACGGTAGGTATATAGTGCAAGGTTAAAACATAAATTTTCAATTTGTCTAAAACTTTGCACAGGGGTTATCTGAACTGTTGATTACAAAAAAGATATTGGATATTCATGGTAGGGGTTTTTGTAAGAATACACTTTGTTTATGGCATGAGGTCTCATTCAAAAAGAAAAGATGCTTTGATGTAATAAATGAGCTTGATATCTCGTAATCGGCAGGTCAGATAACCACAGTAGGCAAAGCTTTGGCGAATTCTGATCGCCTTCTCAATCATTGGCGCTTGCTCCAAGCAGTTTGGCGTACAGCTGCTCGTTCTCGAGTACTCTGCGAATTTCATTTCTTCTTTGATGAGCTGAATGAGTCAACCTCTAGCAACAATTTGTGCACAATTTCGGATTGTTGTGCATGATCTAGGTTAAGAAAGGCTTCATTTTGTCTGATAACTCCATGGATTCTCGTATTTTATCAGTTTCCGAAAAACTGATTTTATATTTTCCACACGGCAATCTATACAATATCAAAATTTGAGCGCTTAAAGGCAGCGTCTAGGCTAAACCTAACAAGCCGCCAGGAGAGGACCATCTGCATTGGTCCAGTCCTCTAAGGTCCTCTCTGAAATTAGATAATGGGCCTGGAGCAGGAAAAGTCCTATCAAGTCTCGCCCAATCTTATCAAGCACGTATTGACGTGATAGTGAGCAGAAGCAGTTGTTGAAGCAACAGC